GGAGCTCTGTAGCATTTCTCATATTATATGTAGATGGCATACTTTTGATGGGAAATGATATAGAACTTTTGGACAACATTAAGGCCTACTTGAATAAGTGTTTTTCAATGAAGGACCTTGGAGAAGCTAATTATATATTATGCATCAAGATCTATAGAGATAGATCGAGACGCCTCATAGGTCTTTCACAAATCACATACCTTGATAAGATTTTGAAGAAGTTCAAAATGGATCAGTCTAAGAAGGGATTCTTGCCTGTATTGCAAGGTGTGAGATTGAGCTCGGCTCAATGCCCGACCACGGCAAAATATAAAGAAGAGATGAGTGTCATCCCCTATGCTTCAGCCATAGGATCTATTATGTATGCCATGCTGTGTACCAGACCTGATGTAAACCTTGCCGTAAGTTTGGTAGGAAGATACCAAAGTAATCCCGGCAAGGAACACTGGACAGCGGTCAAGAATATCCTGAAGTACCTGAAAAGGACAAAGGACATGTTTCTCGTTTATGGAGGTGACGAAGAGCTCGCCGTAAAGGGTTACGTCGACGCTAGCTTCGACACAGATCTGGATGACTCTAAGTCACAAACCGGATACGTGTATATGTTGAATGGTGGAGCAGTAAGCTGGTGCAGCTGCAAGCAGAGCGTCGTGGCGGGATCTACATGTGAAGTGGAGTACATGGCAGCCTTGGAGGCAGCGCATGTAGCTATTTGGGTGAAGGAGTTCATCACCGACCTAGGAGTCATACCCAATGCGTCGGGGCCGATCAAACTCTTCGGTGACAACACTGGAGCTATTACCCTTGCCAAGGAGCCCAGGTTTCACAAGAAGACCAGGCACATCAAGTTTCGTTTCAACTCCATCCGTGAAAATGTTCAAGATGGAGACATAGATATTTGCAAAGTACATACGGATCTGAATGTCGCAGATTCGTTGACTAAACCTCTCTCGCAAGCAAAACATGATCAACACCAGAACTCTTATGGGTGTTCGATTCATCACAATGTAACTAGATTATTGACTCCAGTGCAAGTGGGAGACTGTTGGAAATATGCCCTAGAGGCAATAATAAAAGCATTATTATATTTCCTTGTTCATGATAATTGTCTTTTATTCATGCTATAATTGTATTATTCGGAAATTGTAATACATGTGTGAATACATAGACCACAATACGTCCCTGGTGAGCCTCTAGTTGACTAGCTCGTTGGTCAACAGATAGTCATGGTTTCCTGACTATGGACATTGGATGTCATTGACAACGGGATCACATCATTAGGAGAATGATGTGATAGACAAGACCCAATCCTAAGCATAGCACAAGATCGTGTAGTTCGTTTTGCTAGAGTTTTTTTCAATGTCAAGTATCTCTTCCTTAGACCATGAGATCGTGTAACTCCCAGATACCGTAGGAGTGCTTTGGGTGTACCAAACGTCAGAACGTAACTGGGTGACTATAAAGGTACACTACATGTATCTCCGAAAGTGTCTGTTGGGTTGACACGGATCGAGACTGGGATTTGTCACTCCATATGACGGAGAGGTATCTCTGGGCCCACTCGGTAATGCATCATCATAATGAGCTCAAAGTGACCAAGTGCTTGGTCACGGGATCATGCATTACGGTACGAGTAAAGTGACTTGCCGGTAACGAGATTGAACGAGGTATTGGGATACCGACGATCGAGTCTCGGGCATGTAACGTACCGATTGACAAAGGGAATAGTATACGGGGTTGCTTGAATCCTCGACATCGTGGTTCATCCGATGACATCATCGAGGAGCATGTGGGAGCCAACATGGGTATCCAGATCCTGTTGTTGGTTATTGACCTGAGAGCCATCTCGGTCATGTCTGCATGTCTCCCGAACCCGTAGGGTCTACACACTTAAGGTTCGGTGACGCTAGGGTTATTAGGAAGACTTGTATGTGAATACCGAATATTGTTCGGAGTCCCGGATGAGATCCCGGACGTCACGAGGAGTTCCGGAAGGGTTCGGAGGTAAAGATTTATATATGGAAAGTTGTCAAACGGACACCGAAAAGTTTCGGGGGCATATCGGTATTGTACCGGGGCCACCGGAAGGGTTCCGGGGGTCCACCGGGAGGGGCTACCCCTCCCGGGGGGACACATGGGCTGCGTGGGGCAGGAGCCAGCCCTTGGAGGGCTGGGCGCCCCCCCTTGGGCCCATGCGCCTAGGGTTGGGGGGGGGGAACCCTAGAGGGGGCGCCCCCCTTTGCTTGGGGGGCAAGTTCCCCCTCCCTGGCTGCCGCCCCCCCTCTAGATCCCATCTAGAGGGGCCGGCCCCCCTTGCCCCTTCCCCTATAAATAGAGGGGTGAGGGGAGGGCTGCATACACAAGCCAAGGCGCAGCCCCTCGCCTTCCCAACACCTCTCCTTCTCCATCACGAGCTTGGCGAAGCCCTGTCGGAATGCTGCTTCTCCACCAATACCACGCCGTCGTGCTGCCGGTGGAGCTGTCTTCCTCAACCTCTCCTTCCTTCTTGCTGGATCAAGACGGAGGAGACGTCGCCCGTACCGTACGTGTGTTGAACGCGGAGGTGCTGTCCGTTCAGCACTTGGTCATCGATGATCTGAATCACGTCGAGTACGAATCCATCATCACCGCTCCCTCGAACGCTTCCGTACGCGATCTACAAGTGGTATGTAGATGCAAACTCACTCCCTTAGACTTGTTGCTTAGATGAACTCATAGATGGATCTTGATGAAACCGTAGGAAAAATTTTAATTTTCTGCAACGTTCCCCAACAAATATGGATAGTAGATATAGTTTTTTGTAATCTAAAAATATAAAAACAGCAAGGTAGCAAGTAACAAAAGTGAGCAAAACGGTATTGCAATGCTCGAAAACAAGGCCTAGGTTTCATACTTTCTCTAGTGCAAGTTTTCTCAACAATGATAACATAATTAGATCATATGACAAACCCTCAACGTGCGATAAAAGTCACTCCACAGTTCCTATCGCGGAGAACATAAGATGAAATTGCTTGTAGGGTTAATCCATTGAGCTATTCCTATAAGTGTCACAAACAACCCTAGAGTTCGTAGTAAAATAACACCATATGATACACATCAATCAACCCTAATATCACCTAGATACTCCAATGTCACCACAAGTAACCGTGGGTCAATTATACGATATGCATCAAACAACTTCAGATTCATAATATTCAACCCAACACGAAGAACCTCAAAGAGTGCCCCAAGATTCCTACCAGAGAAACAAGGACAAAAACGTGCATCAACCCCTATGCATAGATTACGTCAATGTCACCTCGAGAATCAGCGAGTTGAGTGCCAAAACATACATCAAGTGAATCAATAAAACACCCCATTGTCACCACGGGTATCCTACGCAAGACATACATCAAGTGTTCTCAAATCCGCAATAGTATTCAATCCGATAATAGTGAAACCTCAAAGGTAAAACTCAATTCATCAGAAGAACGTAGAGGTGGAGAAACACCATATGATCCAACTATAATAACAAAGCTCCCGGTACATCAAGATCGTGCCATATCAAGAATACGAGTGAGAGAGGGAGAGGTCAAACACATAGCTACTGGTACATACCCTCAGCCCCGAGGGTGAACTACTCCCTCCTCTTCATGGAGAGCGCCGGGATGATGAAGACGACCATCGGTGATGGTTTCCCCCTCCGACAGGGTGCCAGAACGGGCTTCCGATTGTTTTTTCGTTGCTACAAAGGTTTGCGGCGGCGGAACTCCCGATCTAGGTTTCTTTCTGGGGGTTTCTGGATTTATAGCAACACATGACAGTGCAGTAGAGGATAATGCGAGCGATTGCACACGTCTGCAGTTGGTGTTACGTTTCCGCCGGCCGGTGACTCATTTCGCAAAAATAAAAGAAAGATAATACTTATGATCCAAGCAAACACCGATACAACGCCGGCTACATAAATCGATCCAAGTTCAGGATTACATCAACACTGACATCCATCCAAAGTTCCCCCTCTCCAAAATCTAAAAACGACGACACTTCACAAACTTAACACTCCAGAGTTCACACATTTGTACTCTCCCAGCCGCCAAATCACCACGGCCAGCAGCTTAATCGACCTCCTCGATCTTGGGCCCCGCACCGCTTCCCCCGGCCGGCGCATCCTCATCCATGCCGGCGGCACCGCCCATGCCTCCCATGTCGGCGCCAGCGCCCTGGTACATCTTGGCGATGATGGGGTTGCAGACGCCCTCCAGTTCCTTCATCTTGTCCTCGAACTCGTCCGCCTCCGCGAGCTGGTTGGTGTCGAGCCAGCTGATGGCGCCGTCGATGGCGTCCTCGATCTTCTTCTTGTCGTCGGCGGGGAGCTTGGACGCGATCTTGTCGTCCTTGACGGTGTTCCTCATGTTGTAGGCGTAGTTCTCCAGCGCGTTCTTGGCCTCCACCTTCTTCTTCAGCTCCTCGTCCTCGGCCTTGTACCGCTCCGCCTCCTGCACCATCTTCTCGATGTCCTCCTTGCTCAGCCGCCCCTTGTCGTTGGTGATGGTGATCTTGTTCTTCACGCCGGCGGTCTTGTCCTCGGCCGACACGTTCAGGATGCCGTTGGCGTCGATGTCGAAGCATACGGTGATCTGGGGCACGCCTCGGGGGGCCGGGGGGATGCCGGACAGCTCGAACTTGCCCAGCAGGTTGTTGTCCTTGGTCCGCGCGCGCTCGCCCTCGAAGACCTGGATCAGCACGCCCGGCTGGTTGTCCGAGTAGGTGGAGAAGATCTGCTCCTTCTTGGTCGGGATGGTGGTGTTCCGCGGGATGAGCGTCGTCATCACGCCGCCGGCGGTCTCCAGGCCGAGGGACAGCGGCGTGACGTCCAGCAGGAGCAGGTCCTGCACCTTCTCGTTGCCCTCGCCGCTGAGGATGGCGGCCTGGACGGCGGCGCCGTAGGCCACGGCCTCGTCGGGGTTGATGCTCTTGCACAGCTCCTTGCCGTAGAAGAAGTCCTGCAGCAGCTGCTGCACCTTGGGGATGCGGGTGGAGCCGCCGACGAGCACGACGTCGTGCACGGTGCTCTTGTCCATCTTGGCGTCGCGCAGGCACTTCTCCACGGGATCCATGCACTTCCGGAACAGGTCCATGTTGAGCTCCTCGAACCGGGCCCTGGTGATGGTCGAGTAGAAGTCGACGCCCTCGTACAGCGAGTCGATCTCGATGGTGGTCTGCGCGGTGGACGAAAGGGTGCGCTTGGCGCGCTCGCAGGCCGTGCGCAGCCGGCGCAGCGCGCGAGGGTTGCCGCTGATGTCCTTTTTGTGCTTGCGCTTGAACTCCTGGACGAAGTGGTTCACCATGCGGTTGTCGAAGTCCTCGCCGCCGAGGTGGGTGTCGCCGGCGGTGGCCTTCACCTCGAAGATGCCCTCCTCGATGGTGAGCAGCGACACGTCGAAGGTGCCGCCACCAAGGTCGAAGATAAGCACGTTCTTCTCGCCGGAGCTGCTGGCCTTCTTGTCCAGGCCGTAGGCGATGGCGGCGGCAGTGGGCTCGTTGATGATGCGCATCACATTGAGGCCGGCAATGACCCCGGCGTCCTTGGTGGCCTGCCGCTGCGAGTCGTTGAAGTAGGCCGGCACCGTGACGACAGCGTTCTTGATGGTGGTGCCGAGGTAGGCCTCACCGATCTCCTTCATCTTGATGAGCACCATCGAGGAGATCTCCTCGGCGGCGAACTGCTTCTCCTCACCCTTGTACTGGACGACGATCATCGGCTTGTCAGCAGGGCCTGGGATGACCTTGAACGGCCACAGCTTCATGTCGCTCTGCACGGACGGGTCGGTGAACCGCCTTCCGATCAACCGCTTGGCATCTGCGACAGAGATAGAGCAAGAATGTCAGTCCAACAGTTCGACTTGCGCTCAAATTAATCAAACTTATTTGGGCACAAAAAGCAAATAAGCAGAGCAACAGCTGAGTTTTGACAAGCTCCAAACAGGAAACTGAAATTTATCCACAATGTTGTCCTGCCCCCAAACAAATAGTTTCAACAGAAACAGCCAACCCAACAAGTTATCTTCCTTTCCATTGTTGACCCGTGAACAGGTTTCAACATAGAAATCTTAATCAGCAAAGTTTTTAGCAGAATCTTGTACTGGAACTAAGGGGACTTTAAACTAAGACCAGATTACTGCATATATTTCCGTCAGTTCTTCAAATACAGACAATGCCAGCAATCTCTGCTACTCGTTAAGCCCAGCAAACAAATTGATTTGCACTGCGATACTACTAGCGTCCTACGAGGAGTTGGATCCAAACAAAATCACATAAAAAACGCATACGCGCACATAATCATAACCGAGCACATTATTATCAACCGTAGCAGTACAAGCACGAACACGAGATGATCCATCTATCTAAGCTAGTAGAAGAGGAGTGGTGCAGGAGGACGTACCGAAGACGGTGTTGGTGGGGTTCATGGCGACCTGGTTCTTGGCGGCGTCGCCGATGAGGCGCTCGGTGTCGGTGAAGCCGACGTAGGAGGGCGTGGTGCGGTTGCCCTGGTCATTGGCGATGATCTCCACCCGGTCGTGCTGCCACACGCCCACGCACGAGTAGGTGGTGCCCAGGTCGATGCCGATCGCCGGGCCCTCTCCTCCCTTCGCCATGTCCTTCTCTCTAAGCTCGAACGGAACGGGGAAACAGGAACTCGAAGACGAAATCGGAGCTACGTAGAACTCTATATAGATCTGAGGGGAATCGCTTGATTGCTTGCTGCGAGTTGGGAATCGCGATGGAACTGATGGATCCAGGGACGGCCGGGGCGCGGATTTTATTTGGGATGCTGGGAATTTCGAGAATGTTCGGGAAGGGGCGCTCTGTTCTGGAGGCCGCTGGAGGGCGGTATGACGGTTGGCGTTGTAGAGGAAGAAACGCGGGCCGGTGAGACCAGCCTTTCACCCTGTCTCGTAGGTTCTACAGCGAACGGCTATGTTCTGGCGGCTGGGCTTTCTTGGTGGGCTGGGTTTTCTCCTTTCGGGTAAAAATATATGGCCCATTACTGTAGACCAGTCATACATTTTCTTTGCAAAATGTAAAAACGAAATCTGTGGTCATATGAAACTCATCTTGCTTTTCACTGCATATGTTTTTTGCTTCTCCTTTTGGGTAGCATATTGGAATCTGATAAGTATCAAACATTCGGTAAAAGTACATGGCAACTCCAAACGTTTTTTATGGCAAGTTTAGTGATACGAGGATGACAACTTTAGTTGCCAAGCATGACAACTTTCGTGCTTCATGTTTATTTTTTGTTAAAAAATTGATGTGCTTGCCCCTAACTTGCCATCCCCTCGTCAACTAAAGGTGTCATGAAAAACGTTTGCTTGTCATGTGCTCGTACCAAACGTTCAATACTTAACATTTCCATGAAAAATAGAAAGGTGGTTATATGAATGCATGTATTTTCGATGTACATGTTTCTAATTCCTGGATTGCTAAACAAAATTATAGAACCGGGGGAGTATATTAGCCATGCATAGCGACGCCACTGAGAACAAACACTTCAACTAGACCCAATGAACCCACACAACTTCTTCTTTTTTAAAAGGGGAATATATTAATATCAAGGTAGATATCAATTACATCCGGCGCTGCATTAACAAGATGCCTAAAAACATCTAGGATGCACACAGCCAAAAAAGAAAATAAAAAAGGGGAAAATCCTGCCATGATGATCAATCATCCACAGTAGCAGCACTCTAACCATCACCAAAGTCAGCATCCGGGCTAGAAAGAAGTTTCTCCAAAAGCAACGCCTTCAAAAAAGAAACAAAGCACAAGCGATGTCGTTGCCTGATCAAAAATCGTAGGTTTTCACCCTGAAGAAAGACCGCGTTCTTAAAAAAAGTGTCTTAAACAATGTCACTGTCAGGCACAACCAATAAAGGCCAGACCTTATGTTTTCACCAGGGAAATCACGACTCGGTACTCAACGAAGCACCACCGAGCACCACCAACAAACAAGTCCTCCAACGCTGTCGCCCCACTCGCGGAGGCTACTACTACAAGTCTTGTCCAGCAGGCTCACAGGAACTTGTGCCCGGTCTGGAAGGGAACACACCCCGCAAGCCAAGTTTGAACAACCGCGTGTGAAGCAAAGTCTTCATCGCATCCAAGACCCCGCCTTCGCCACTTACAGGTCCTCCAATCACGCCATGGCATTCTCCGCATGTGTTGATCCCTTGGAAATCTTGGTGCAGACATGTCCCAAGATGTCAACAAAATAGAGCTTCGCGATACCCCGATGAAGCTAGTTATGCTGATGTTGCGGGTGCACACGACCGGTCCCTATCCAATCAAGGTGTCCAAAGGGCGCCATATACACCAGTCCTTGTTTTTCTTTGAAGGAGAGGTCCGGAACTCACCGATGGCTAGATCAAAGAAGACTGATCACATGTAGCCACATGATCTTGTTGGTATGACCAAGAACAGGCACGGCGGCAACCAACCCCATCCCTCCTAGACGAGCTATACTGGCGAAGGAGCCCTATCGTTAGAGCAGAGAGAGTGCCGCAACCCTCCTAGACACAGTCTCTCTGGGTCAATGACCCTGCCTCCAACCGGGTCTAGGCAAAAACGAGCCCGGGGCTGGTGGCCACCCTATATGGACAGTAGGGACCATGGACGGGGCGATACAGATGTGACCTCGCCGCGGATATCGAGATCTAGGCCGAGCATCCACCCGATTTGGACAGTATGGACCACCGGCAGCGTCTCATCAGAACCGCCAGGGTTCAGGAGGAGCGGAGTGGAGAGACAGGGAGAGGAAGGAGAAGTGGAGCGGCCCCGCCGTCGCCAACCCACGCCGAGGCTTTGCGTGGCAGGGACTACCGGCGGCGGCGAGGGAAAGGGCGGGGAAGGGGAAACCGGTGGCGGCGAGTCCGCCCGTGCCGTCTCTGGGGAACGACGCGGGGGCTTTCCGTTTTTTCTCCAAACCCACACAACTATGTGGCTCTACGAGCAAAATTTGATGGGTAATGGCCAACTCCGTCTTGGGTGACTCTGCTTTCCATTGAACGACGAGAGTGATTAACTCCACGCCCATGATAATATTCTTAGCATCAAGATAGTCTGTCTTCGTCACAATTGGCATGGGCATCCATTGTACTCATGGGAAGATCTAGGGGGTGCCATGACACCCCATTAAAAAATACAATTTTATTTCCATCATGCACTATTTACATTATATCCAGTTGTCCTAACGCCAAAGATCAACAAATTATCAAAGCAATAGTTGAGCCATCTGTCCAACATCCAATCTTTCAAACTCTAGCTCCACTATGTATGGCCTTATCTATGGACCAATCCAATCCTTAGGTATTGTTTTTTTAGAGAAAAGGCATATGCCCGACTTTATAAATAAATACATACGGCAGGTCACAGTAACAACGCAGGAAAGTAGCAGCAGCCCGAGGCCCCAACAGCGGCCAGAGTAGACACAACACAAGGAGAAGTCTGGTACATGGCACCCGCGCCAGTACACGGCACGCAGGCCGAAAGAAGGATCACCCAACTGGAGGACGCCACCCAGTCAACCAAAAGCCCTTAGTCACCCTGCGCTTGTCTGCAAAGAAGAGACACCGTCGTCCGAATTTTGGAGGTTAACGCAGTGAACGCTTCATGGTCGTCATCCTTAGTCAATGATTTCCACTGCTGCAGGAGGGCACATGATTGAAATAAGCAGTCAGCAGGTTTAGCAGGAAACACATGTTCAATAGTAAATTTGTTCCTAGTCGTCCAAAGGGACCAGCACAGCGCTCCCAAGCCCACCCAAAAGAGTCGCCGAGAGACGCCCGAAAGGTCATGGGCCAAAGCCCGCAGCTCCGCAAAGGAGGCAGGGTCCCAAGAGACGTTTAACCAATCCCGAACGCAACTCCAAATGAGCTTAGCCAGGTGATAATGAAAAAAGATATGTTCAATGTCCTCAACAGCACCACACAGAGCACAGAACTGGGAGCCCGGGCCATTTCTCTTGCGAATTTGATCAGCCAAAGGCAGCCGACGCCGAAAGGCTTGCCATAAGAAGATTTTAATCTTAGGGGGAAGACGAGCCTTCCAGACCTGGGAGAAGCAATTAGTGGGCGTGTCCCCAACGAGCTTGGAATAAAGAGATTTCACCGAGAACCGACCAGAGGAGGACAGCGGCCAGATCACCGAATCCCTAGCCGTCGAGAGCGAAGGAAAGAGGGCAGTAAGACGTTGCCACTCTTCGAACTCTACAGGCGACAAGGAACGCCGGAAGATCAGGTTCCACCCTTGGGAAGCTAACCTAGCAATAGAAATGGCATGGTCTGAACAATAAGAAAACAGGGTGGGAAAGGTCACCGAGAGTGGTGAATCTCCACACCACCAATCTAACCAAAACCTGATCGAGGCACCGTCCCCAACGACAAACTTAACGAAGAATTGAAAAATCGGCCTAACTTTGACCAACGCCTTCCAGAACTGTGAGCCAGCATGCGACATGGCAAACATTGGGCTGCAGGACGGGAAATATTTAGCTTTCAGGATGTCCAGCCACAGGGGCTGGTCCTCCGCACTCATAATCTTCCACCACCATTTAATCAGTAAACATTGGTTCATGATGGACGTGTTAAGGATGCCCAACCCCCCATGGTTTTTGGGTCTGCACATCAGCTTCCATTTCACAAAGTGATACTTGCGGCGGTTGTCCACCGCATTCCAGTAAAAAGCACCACGGTGTTTATCAAACCCCGCATGAGTCCCAGCCGACAAGAGGTAGAAGCCCATCAAGAACATAGGGAGGGAGGAGAGACATGCGTTAATAAGAGCTACTTTACCCGCATTCGAGTTGTATCTGCCCCGCCAGGGTAGAACCCTGTTACCCACCTTGGTAACTACAGGAGCAAAATCCTTAGCATGAAGCACATCTGGGGAGATCGGGAGACCTAGGTATTTGAAAGTAAAAGACCCCAACATGCAATTGAGAAGGTGAGCCACTCGAATGGCTTCCGAATCCTCGACCCCAGTAACAACCACTTCACTTTTAGCAAAACTAATCTTAAGGCCCGACATCGCCTCGAAACATAGAAGAATAAACTTAAGGTGCGCTATGCAGGAATCATTTAGCTCCACCATGATAATGGTGTCGTCCGCGTATTGGAGATGGGTCAGACCAGGGGGGATAAGATGATTGCTAACAGGGGATATATGCCCAGAGGCAGCTGCCCTAGATAACAGGCGAGATAAAGCATCATCCACAAAATTAAACAGGATAGGCGAGGCAGGGTCACCTTGCCGTAGGCCCCTATCATTACCAAAGAACTTACTGACCTGGCCGTTCACATTAATAGTAGTGTGCCCCCCCAAGACTAACTGCATAATTCTATGGACAAGAGGACCATCGAAACCTTTGGCCAACAGCACTCTACGCAAAAAAGGCCAGCTAACCGAGTCGTAAGCCTTCTCAAAATATAGTTTAAGGATGACCGCTTTTGTTTTTCGAATCTTAAGGTCATGAACGATCTCATGTAGACATAAAACCCCATCAAGAATGAAGCGACCTTTAATAAAGGCCGATTGGAAAGGGCTGATGGTACGGTGGGCAATGGGAGATAGGCGTGTAGCCAACCCTTTGGCCGGAAAC